TTTGTAATTATAGATAAAAATGCAGTTATCCGTTTGCGAGCTCTATGTTTGTTGTCGACATCATTCCGGGCCTGTCACTACTCTGAAATCAGAAAAATGAGAAAGATTTTTAAGATATACGGTTGTCATTATAGCCCGTACCAAAATGAAGGCAATGAAGCCAAGTTTGGAAAAATAATGACTGTATAAAAAGAAAGTATCAAATATTTTTTCAACTTGTGATCATGTTTAAAAAAATTAATAAAATAAAATATAACTGTGTTCAAGGTAGGGACGGAAAACTACATGTCTACTATATATTGTGTAAAAATTTCAAGTTATTCGGTTCAGTAGTTTTTGCGTAATCGTGTCGTTTAAGAAAGTTTAAGAAAATGGTGTTTCCAGATAAACGCGTTTAAAGTTTTATGCGTATGTATACTTTCCATATAGATAGTAACAAATTTATTTTATGCTTTGAATATTACACAGTGAATATACTGTGAAAATTTCAAGTCCATTGATCCTATCGTTTCTGTTAAGAAAATTGTAAAAATAGCCTTAGAAACGGCCTGTTCGTATAATTTGCCCCTTAACAAGTTTCAGACATCTAACGGGATCTTGTTGAATTTGCTTCTCGACAGCCAAATTTTTTTTCTCCCTCACGACGATTTAATGGAAAAATGACGAATCCTTGACAGCAATTTCATACCTCTCGAGAGACATCGCTAAACTGATAATGCACTTAACCTGCAGTCACGTGAGGGATATAATATTCGGTGTATCTCGGGGATGAATAGAAATATACGTCGATCATGAAATTGAATGTCGTGTTATAAGAGCGCTTCGGTCGTCAAAGAGCCGAAGACACGAGAGCAGTAGTACAGCTGTCTACAAAGTCAGACCATCTTTCCTATTCGCTGCTACAGACCGACAGACAGACAGACAGACAGACTGAAGTTTCCTGACTCTGTGCTGTGCAATCTTTGCTGCGTTAGAACGTTCGAAACAGCGGCGCATAAAAAAGTGGAAATATCTGCCGACAAAAATAGGACAGATGTTAAAACTGTTTTTAACACTCGCAGGATAACAAGCGCGCCGCGAAAGTTGCTCGTCTATTGTAAATACAAGCCGATGCTCTCGACTCTCGAAAGAACAACCGAAAGAAACGACTTAATAATGAATAACGATTCACGAGGAAATAAAACACCGTAAAATTTTTCACAACATTAATCTCTTTCCCTACGGGCGTATTTCTGTTTTCGCGGCGGTGCTCTTTCCGCATCATACGGAGTTTCGTAAGACACTCCGTTTCTCTCTCTCTCTCTCTCTCTCTCTCTCTCTTCTTCGCCTTCTTTCCTTCGCATTTTCTCCCTTTTACCACGTTTCATGCGCCCCCGTCTCTGCCGCGAGTATACAGTACTTTGCGAGTCTGAATATTTCGCTTCTTTAAAGGGATCTTATCGCGGAGCAAACGCGCGAGCGTGGTTGCACGACGTCGAATATGGCGATAGGTACGTATGTCTGACAGGGCTTGTTCGCGAGCGTGATATCGAATTGCGTAGTCATACGTGAAGGCAGACGGATGACGCATCCGATCGCCCGAGGAAATTCGGATCCTTGTGTATCTATCCGAGGTATGAGATTTTTCGGGAGGCGGAGACGAGAATGCACGCACGTGTGAGTGCCCGAAAGGAATTTTACAGATCATGATCCGCCGCGAGAAAGAGACGGAAGGAGAGAGAGAGAGAGAGAGCGAGAGAGAGAGAGAGAGAGAGAGAGAGAGAGAGAGAGAGAGAGAGAGAGAGAGAGGATAAGCGAGAAGAGAACGACGCGACTAGAGAGAGGTGGAGGGCGAAGAGGTACCTGGCATCGACGGATCCATATTATAAATCTGCAGTCTGCAGGATCCGCGCGGTTATTTCTTGCTAGATATCCCTGAGATACGATCCCGCCTTGTGGGAAATATATCGACAATAATCGTCGTATTAAGTTTCGCTTCTAGCATGCTGATTTCACATATGCGTCATCGATTCTGCGGCTGGGAGCTTGCGACAGACATCTTTCCCTCTCTTTCTCTCTTCTCGTCTCGTTTTCTCATTTCTTATTTTGTAACTTGTATTTATAAGCTGTAAATATACGATATAAATGCGACGCGTGCCTTAGAAAAATTCCACTTTTTTCCATTTCAGACCAACCGATTACGTTAGTAATACGTTAGTAATAGTTGATTTACTTGAGTTTTGCAAGAAATGGCACTAATGTCAGTTTTGTCGGACATTTCAATCACAGCTGTTGTTTCTTAATGCTTTAATATTAATCCGTGATACTTAGTCATTTACTAATAATAGACGCAGTAAAAATCGTGTTAATACCATCTTAAAAATGAAGCTTCCTAAAGAGCATTTTCGACATACGTTGCTCTTGTTTTTTAATCGGAAGAAAACGACGGCTGAAGAATCATAGAATTCTGATGGAATTTTATGCTGATCTTGCTCCATCAATTACGAGACGTTAATACTGGTTTAGATGATTCAAAAGTGATAATTTCAATGTTAACGACAAAAATCGCTCAGCACAACTAAAAGAGCTTGGAAATGCAGATTTGCAAGCATTATTGAATGAAAATCCAGCACAGTCCACTTCAGAACTTGTTGGAGCATTAAATGTTGGCCGTACAGCAGTTACTAAACGTCTACATGATATGAGAAAGATATTCGCAAAAAAGGAAAATGGGTTCCACACCAATTATCCATTGTCATTCCAAACCGGTTGAACATTTGCATTCCGTTGATCGCCAGACAAGAAATGAAGAGGCTTTCGCATCAAATTGTTACTGGGAATAAAAAATGGATTTATTTCGATAATCCCGAACGAAAAAATCATGGATTGATCCAGGCTAACCAGCAACATCCACTTCGAGGCGCGATATTTACGGTTCAAAAGTATTGCTGTGTGTTTGGTGGGATCAAGAAGACGTTGTGTATTATGAACCGTTAAATTCGAATAAAACTGTCACCGCTGATCGTTATCGACAACAATTATACAAAGTTGAAGCGAGTATTGGACCAAAAACGAATTCCGAGTAAACGACGCATATCCTTCTTCACGACAATGTTCGACCTCATGTTGCATTATCAAGTATGATGTATATGCGCTATTAGAACTGAAACAGGAAGTCTTACCGCATCATCCCGCGTATTCTCCAGACATTGTTCCATCCGAATATCACTTGTTCCGGTCGATGCAACATGTTCCACAGAATATACATTTTCATAACTATGAACAAGTACGAAAACTTGTTATAAATTTGATCAACTTGGAAGAAGAATCTTTGTTATTGTCGTGGAATCTATCTGTTGTCAGAAAGTTGGGAGAAAGTTGTAAAAAATGGAAGAAAATATTTTGATTAAGGTATTCGTTCATTATCTTGTTTAAATAAATCAGTTCTTGACAGAAACCCTCAGAACCAGATCACACTCCTAATAATAACATAAAAAGTAATTAAATATAAATACAGCTTACGAACACGAGTATACCGGGTGTTTCAGACCACCCGGGTCACCCGATTTTTTCGTTAACACGACATTTTAGAGAAAAATACTTCAGATAAAAGTTGTAGGACTTCAAAGGATTTATTTACTGATTCCATGAATTTGACTTTGGAATAATCTTGAAAAGTTCAGTCAAGATCAATATAAAAATCTTAAATGGATACTCCAATTTTTTATCTCTTTCTAGCAATTAATTTGAACAACTTTTGTCTGAAACATTTTTCTATTTACTTAATATTTTTTGAGATATTTAACCGTTTGAGTCCCAGGGGGTATTGAAAAAACACTGTCGAAGAATCCCAAACAGCGCAATCGCGCTTTCTATAAATGAGTATGAAAAGACCCAAGCAGCGCGATAGCGCTTTGTTTATTTTACATCGATGAATCCCAATCGGACCAATACCGCTTCTTGTATTTGTTAGGTAACGCGATTCTCGTCTTTTTCTCATCGCTCTGTCACATTTATTGTAGTTTGCAAAGCGATCGGACGTATTCTTGCGTAAGTGTTTCTCATTGTTAATAATTGTGTGTTTCAAAATGATTAGACGAAGCAACGGAGCAACGAAGCAAAAGGAATCCATCCAACATGTTTTGATAAACACCGATGTTACAAATTATAATTGTTACTCTCCATTTAAATTATTTGTTCATAACACAAAAATATTGTTAATTTGTAATTCGTTATTTTATAAAATACATCTGTATTATTACATATGCGTACTGTAAATTTATAAATATTTCAAGTTTTGTTCGATAAAAATTATTGAGAAGATAACAATGAAATAAAAATTTTTATTTTGTAATGTATTATTGCATTATTATAGTATTATTCTACCTATTATAAAATGTACTATTTACATTAAAAGGATCGGTGTGATATACTTGCTTCAGTAAATCTGAGCGCGCGACTTCGACAATCGGTAACGCACCGTCAGTTGTCCACAATGATCGAAATGTACTGGGTTTTCTCGACATAAAATCTGAACAGCGCGATCGCGCTGCTTGGGACTCAAACGGTTAAGGAAAACTTGATAACTTTTTCAATATTTAACTCACGATGTCTCGCTAACTATTTGTCAAAAGAAAAAGTGGTATTAGACTTTTTTGCTCCATTTAGTCTCAAGAATTCCAATTGTTCCAATAGCGCCCTGAATTAATTGCTTAATTTGATGATTTTGAAATTTCCAAAAACGAACGCTCACGCTCCGTCGAGCTAGCTCCGACGGACGCCAAATTATGCACTGTCTCCAAAGTTTCCATAAAAACGGACTCAGTCGACTGCGTGATGCTATATGTAAAGAAGACGCTACCATGGTCAATGTCCTCGCAACTTATAACGAAGGGCTGCACGTGCCGTAGTTCACGATCGGTCGATTCATTGGCCCGGCGGAGGGAAACTTTGCCGGAGGCATGGTACAGCTTTTTCATAATTGATCGTCCAATCGATACGCTCCGCTATTTTGCTTTCAGGGCTCGAGGCCGAGTTGTACTACGTGCGAGAGGGGGTGGTCAACACTTACGCGATGAATTTCGTCGTGCCTGTGCCGGCCAACATAGCGGACCTAGAGTTCTCATGGCAAAGCCTCGTAGGACATCCGGTATGTATGCTCGCGGCCAGAGGATTCGTCTCGAACGAGATCGAACGTCGAGCCCACGAATGCCCAACTTTCGTCGTCGGCAATTTTTACGTGTTTGTCCGCTTCTCCGCACGTGCATATCTTTCTTTTCGTCCTCTCCCTCGAAGCGAAGGGTGATTTAACTAATCCGGCATGCGTGTACAAACGCTGTTATACGCACGCAAAATCCACCCCTATCGAGCCAGCTTGAGACCCGTATCCCCCTCCCGCCCCTTTGCCCGCGTCTTTGCGGTTCCCAAAAGAAATCACGTTTCGCCGCGGCGAACGCGTGTCCGCGAACGGCCGCCGCGCGGAGGGTTGAAACGGGGCTGTTACCGTGTGCTCGAGCGAAACGTTTCCGCCGGCCATTAACGAGACGCAACAATGCGGAACAAAGTAAACACGTGACCCGGCTGGAATGGTAACACACGGCATCCTCGTTTATGTTCCGCTGCGGGATGGTGGCCCGTCACGGTGGTTTACCGGGGGGTGCCCGCCGAGGGTTAAGAGGGGCTCGGCTCGGTACGTCGGGGTGAGACGCGCACGACGCTGCACAGGGCTGTATCAATACTCTATCAATATGAAATACAAACAGATGGCGTGGGCGTGAAAGGGACGAGGCGAGCCGGTGCACGCCGGTGCGGCGCGGTTTTGCGCTCCCTTCGGTCACCAAGGAAACCGTGCGCGCCCTCGAAACCCTCGCGACGTGGCGGACGTGGAAAAACGTGAAAAGTCGGCCCGCGCGCGCGCTCGCCCTCGATCGCGCGCCTAAACACGACATGGGGGTCGCGGCGCCGCTCTGCCAGTGATATTTAATTCACCGCGGCTGTTGTATTCATCTCGCTCGATTGTTGGTTCTCGACTACTCGACTTCTGCCGCGGACTGTACTCGTTGCCGCACTTCTTAACTTGAACTTTGCGAAACTTCCTTTTCGGGAACTTTCAGGGAATTGCGAAGGGTGATTAGTAGGTAGCGCGTAACGATCGCGGAAAGGTGAAGACTCGCGAGGCCGAGCGTTCTGGCTAGGAATGTCACGCGCAAAAGATTCGCTGGTCTAACCGAACGAATAATCACTGAACTTCCACAAGGCTCGCACGCGGAAGCATTTCGCGAGGGTTGTCGCCAGGTAGACCGGCGAAATCAGCACGGATCCGACGCGCGAAACGGCTCGAGCAAAAAATTGTTAGGGTCATCCTCATAAAGCATAAGGTTCCAATAGGCTGAAAGTAGAATGCCTTAGAAAAGGATGCTTTATTATTACCACATCAGCATCCGAAATGGATCTTTTGGGGATACCTTAGATTTTACGAAATAAAGCTCTGATAAGAAAAACTGATGAGGGTCTTAGACTTTTAGGGTTAGGACCTTTTAGGGATGCCTTAGATTTGGCGAAACAAGGCTTTGATAAGAAAAGCTGAGAAAGGCTTTAAAAGGATTTTTTAGGGATACTTTAGAATAATAAATAAGTAGACTTTGACAGGAAAAGCTGAGAAAGGCCTTGGAAGAATTTTTTAGAGATAGAGGCTTTAGATTTTACGAAATAACGCTTTAACATTTTTTAAGGATACTTTAGATATATAAAATTAAGTTTTGTTACAGAAAATTAATAAGATCTGAAGCATATAATAAAATTGTCGTGGTTTAGTATTGTTTTAGTAGGTATGCTCTATCTAGTCTTTTTAAAGATTTTTTAATTATATCGCAATTAAAAACAAATTTTATTTTTAGTTTTATAGTTGCTATATTCATTAGTCTCTTCCAAGGATTTTTCTAGTATTGCCTTCGTTTCGAAATGCAGCAAACTTTAATAAAAGCCGATACAGGATAACAGGATTTTTATGTGTAAAAAATGCTATATTTTATTATAAAGTACGCTATATTTTTTAAATAAAAAAATTTTTGTTGTACACTAATAAGATTTTATAGAAATAAAGAAATTACAGTTTAAATTTCTTGAAATGAAGAGAATGAATATTTTTATTCAAGCAATAATAAAACTATTTCGTCTCGCAATTGCAAGAATGAATGTCTCATTTAAACTTAGAATGAATTTTAACTCCATAACTCTTAACATTACCCTATAAGGCTCTATTAATATTGCCTCATAAAACTCCTGTTAATATTTCCTTATAAGGCCCTATTAATATTGCCTTATAAAGTCCTGTTGATATTACCTCAGGCACGATTAATGTTAGGGAAAAATAATCAGGCCCTTACCAGAGTCCTATTAATTTTTCTACTCGAGGAAGGTGGAGTAAGAGAGAAAGTTTTCCACCCCTGCTGCCTCGTCCTCGCCATTCACGCGATCGTAAAGTTCGTTCCAACGACACGACGGCGAACTCGTACTTGTCGCTGGCTGTGTCAATGGAAGACTCGCTGATTCATTGAATCCCGAGATTTTCGGGACGAATGTCCGCAAATGGGGACGTCTGCGGTGCGTCTGTGCTGCAGGTGCGTCACAGGACGAGATGCGTTTCTCGTCGTGATCGTTGCGAAAGGCGCTCGTCTACTCGCTCTCTCTCTCTCTCTCCCTCTCTCCCTCTCTCTCTCTCTCTCTCTCTCTCTCTCTCTCTCGCTCCTCTCTCTCTCTCTCTCTCTCTCTCTCTCTCTCGCACTGCACCGTTACGCTGCTAGACGCTTTATTGTCGTTGCGGGAATATCGCAACGACGATCCCGCCTTATCCCGCGGGGAGTGTTTTCCAGCCCTCCACTTTCGCCCGTTATCTCGTGGACCTATCCGTAGGTTCGTTAACCGCAAAATCGCACTGTTTCCGTGATTACGAGCCCGTCGTTTCGCCTTATCTCCTGTCCGCTTTCTCGATACCGCGAAAGAGTTTTGCTCGGCGAACGACGCCAGACGGCGAAAGAACGTGAGAGGGCGACGTGCGTAACGGGGGGGACGTGAACGTGCGCGGAAATTGATTACTTAATCTCTCGCTGATTCGATAAAACGCCGGTCGTGTGTTTAATCAGTAGTAGATTGTTTTAATCACAAATGGGCTCCAAGGGAAAATGTGAAGAAAGATGTTGGGAGAGAAGGAGTTGCCAGCAAAAATGTTTGCAATGAACGAACACACTTGATTGCTCGCAAGGCAGTTTGGAGCTATGAAATAAAATGTAATTAACAATGAAACGCGAAGTGTACGCGAATCGTTATAATTGGGAGCCACTATTGACAGGTTTGTGCGATAATAAATTATGACAGAAGTCGTTTAGCCACCTTTTATCTCGACTTATATTAGATCTAGTTAATTCTTTTCGATGAAATTTACATAACTCACAGCAAAATTTGAAATTGAAATATTCTCCCGCTCTTTTGCGGTTTTAATGTGTTGACATTTAACTTTTCGGAGTGACATATGGCTTGGCATTTGATCCACATAACCTCAAATAATTAGTAGTGTTCACGATAACCATCAACAAAGAGCGTATTCGATACGCGATGCATTTCGCGTTTCATTTAAACAAAAGCGCTTCTGAAGCAGTCAAAATGATTTGTGCTGCTGATGGTGAAAATGCTGTGGCCGATCGCACCTGTCGAAACCGGCTTGAACGTTTTCGAGGCGATGATTTTGACCTTCACGATCAACCATGCTCCGGTCAGCCAAAAAAATTTGAAGGCGAGGAGTTGCAAAATCTACTGAATGAAAATGTATATAGCACAAACACAACAAAAACTTGCGGGAAAGCTGGGAGTAAGCCAGAAAGCTATTTGCAATCGTTTATATCATGTGAGAAAGATACAAAAAGAAGGGAAGTAGGTTGCACACGAGCTAATCATTGACAACAAAAATCGCCGATTGATCACATGCGTTGCTCGCTAGACAACAAAGAAAAGACTTTTTACACAAAATCGTAATTGGTGACGAAAAATGGATTATGTATGAAAATCTTCAAATAAAATCATGAGAAAAATATCATGAGTTTAAACGAAAAATATAGACCATGGCGGATTCTAAGGGGGTTTGGGGTTAAAACTCCCCCTTCCAAATTAAAAGAAATCAGTCTTACTTACTAAGATCCGTTTAAAAAATTTAGGTAAAATGATACAGGCCGATTAACACAGGCGCCCGTGAATCAAATTCTTATGTCTAAGATTCACTGCATCCAAACTGTCCGATTTCTGATATACAATGTCCGCTGTTGTTTGCTGAGAGTCTATTAATAATTATAAAAAACCTTAAAGCTACAGCATTATTGTATTTACGACTTTTTTTCTAATTAAGTTGATAATTTAGCAAATTTTCGTGAATCCCCATAAGGCCAATGTTATATTAAAATTATATTAACTCAACAACTGGCCTCGTAAATCTGCTGAAATTGTATACATTGTTTTATGATTACAATACCTACTGATGATCAAAGTTTGAATAATTTGACATTATTTTTGTCTTAGGGGTAATACAACCTTAAACAATTTATTTTTATAAAATTCTGTTAGAGTCTATAAAAAAGCTCTCCTATTGAATATCGGACGTTGTACATTGAACATCGGACGCAATGTGTGAATCTTCCTTTCTAAGTAAAAAAAACAAAAAAGAAACAAAAAATGGAGTCATAAGTTTCACCACGTCGTTGATCTTGGAGTTAAAACTAAGCGTGATACAAAGAAACATATCAAATAAAACAATTTTATTAAACCCCCTTCTCATTATCGACGTCAAGATCCGCTAGTGGACCCTGGTCAACCGACAACGTCGACAGAAAAATCCAAACGTTACGGAAAAAAAGTTCTTCTCTGTATGTGGTGGGACCAGAAGGGTGCGCTATACTATGAGCTCTTAAAACCATTGAAGCGGAAATTTACCAAGAGCAATCGATACGTTTGAGCGATGCAATTGAAAAAAAAGACCATTTACTAGACAAGGCAGCCGTAATGTCGTTCTGCTGCACGACAATACTAAACCGCGTACAGTAGAAGCCACAAAGGAAATCATCTTACACTTGGGCTGGAAAGTTCTCCCACACGCGGCATATTCAT